GTGTGTGTGTGTGTGTGTGTGTGTGTGTGTGTGTGTGTGTGTGTGTGAATGAATGACATTACTTTAAAGTGGTTCTTTTTACTGTTTACACTCAGTGGGCTGATTTACATGCACATGCTTTCCCCTAGTAAATCAACAGTGAGCAATAAGTTCTATTTTTGTAAGTGTTATGTTCATAATATTTAGTCATGCATTTGAGAGAAGTGACTGTTGTGATGACTTTTCCTTGTTTGCGCAATAAGAAAACTTAGATATGCAAAATCGAAAATATTACTTTAAATAGGAAGATGATCCAAATGGAAAGCATAATCTGAATTTGGTGTTTGTGCATGCTGTAAATGTTAATCAGCTGTCAGATCTCAGATGTCACAGCTTGTTTAAACAGAGTTTGCATAACAGGCCCTGCTTGAAACAAGACAAATATAAGAAGAATTCAAACTTTACTTTACTGTGAAGGACTGTACAGTAGATTTTCATCGTACTGATATAAATTAACCAACCTGTACATCCGTATGTTGTTCTTTGGAAAATGTAATGTACTGTACATGTGGTTGGGATGTTTGGCTACAACTTGCAGAAATGCTCCTTGAAAAACAGACGTTTGCCTTATTCTGTTTTCATGTGGCATCTCTGACCTCTGAACCAGAAAAGAGATCCTGCAGGAATATTTCGACATCTGCACTTTCCTTAATCATGAAGTGGTGCGGATCCACAGGGAGATATCTTCTGCTCTGTCAGCCATCGATCCTCACAGAGAATATGAGAGCTTCATCCAGCAGAACCGGTAGACTGAGTCAACATTTCAGATGTCAACAATGCAGCCATGAAAGCTAACCCTGCAGAGCAATGATACTGTGTGTTTACAGGTCTGTAGGGGAGACTCCTGCTTGTGCAGAGTTTGATTGTAATCTGCTGGAGGACACTGAGCAGCTCAATCCTAGAGAGCTTGAACTGAACGACCTCACGCTTGAGACAATCCAGCACAAGTGAGAACAAACGACGCAATCTCATCCAGATGACCAGACTAATTTCCTTTTTTAGTGTCTAAACAACTTCCTCCTCCTAAAACTCCCTGCACGTCTATTTACCTCCTGTTTCCTCTGACAGTTTTGCATCAATTACTTCCTCCCCTTGTCTTATTTCTCCTCCTCCCAGACTGACTGCGGTAGAGGAGGAGCTGCTGTGTCTGGCTCGGACTCTGGGCTCTCAGCAGAGCGCGGTCGAACAGCTGGAGCTGGAGCTGGACGTAGAGAGTGAGGGTGTCAAGAAGGGCCAGAGGTGAGCGGCCCACAGACAGAAGCAGAATCAGCGAGTCTCTTAGAGGTCACAGAGGAGGTTTCAAAATAAAAACACACAACCTTTGGTTGCCATGAAGAGAAATTACTGAAGTTTGCCTCTGCGGGCAGTCCTTCCCCTCGGGAAAGTTCAGTATGCTCTTGACTGGGCAACAGCTAATAACTAGTGTGGTCTCAGGGGGCTGTAAGTGCCTTATGCATTATAATATAGCGATATGGTCAGAGTTATGGAGCTCGATCCCCCCCTCATTTGTCTTGGTTGATGAGGCTGTCTGAAAGTTGTTAGAGGTTTACAGTCCAGTGGGAGTGATCCAGTCTTTAACAAGCTCCTGGAGGGAAACAATGTGTTTAGTTATTTATTTGTTATGTGGTGGTGAGTGGAGGTTATGCTGCCCTTTGGTTTGTATTTTGAAGAAACATTTTGTAAATCAACAGTGGGTGACACCTTGTAGCTGAGAATCTTTTAACCTGGGGAAATTGAAGACTGAGTACATTTACTTCCCTGGTTCCTACTCACCGTCACTCAGAGATCATACAGAAAGATGTCATACAAATAGTCAAAGGTTTATATATATTCAGTTTAAGATCACAAGTATATATAACAAAGAAAAGCAGCAAATCCTCACATTTCAGAAGCTTTGGCAGTTTTATATTTAAAAAGGACTGCAACAAGTAATTATCATCCAAATCGTTGTAGATTCATTTCCTGTCAATCGATCAATTGTTTCAGCTTTAGTCAAATGACCTCAAACTATCTGACTCAATGAACACCTAGCATTTTTTCAGCATAGCAGTACTTGTTGGTTTCTGGGTCTCAGGGCAAATAATGGAAGTGCCAAGCAATAGCGTGTGCGTTGTACTTAATTGGAGCTTGGGAGGCGGCAGGGTACATGCACAATGCACAGGGAGGGAGGTTGAAGTGGTCAATGGGGGTGCAACAGTAAATTGTTCCCCTGGTGGCCTCTAGCAGGTTAATCCAGCATGCACTGGCCATTCCTGTACTGTTGAATCTTGTGTTTATCAGCATTTGTTTTATAGCAGGCTCATTTCACCTCACTAATAGGACTCTTAGGGCATTTAAAGGATTACTGGTCTTACATGCTGACAATCCACGACAAAGTCTGACTAAGCTGTCGCCAGAGAATCTTATTGACTGCAAGGGAGCTTCTGTAACCTATTTACACAGACTGACTTCTTATTGATGTCTCTGTGGTCTTGTGCTGTCTATTTGCAAAACTTGTGTCGTTTTATTGACTTGTGCAACCCTTTTTGTTGCTCACACTGACTTACTGATGTACCGCTGCTCTCTGCTTCGTCCAGGGTCTACCATTTCAGCAAGAGACATGCGATGGAGGAGTGCCGGCAGCAGGTTGCTCTGTCCCAGGGCATGAGAGTCAAGCTGGAGGTTCAGAGGCTTCTTCTGAAAGAGAAACTGGACCAGCTGGGCTCCAAAGAACCTTCCTCTGCTCTGCAGCTGGACCCAGATACCGTCTCACTTTCGTCCAACTCAAGCAATGTATGTGCTCTCTGCCAGGGTCTTTCTGGTCTTTTTTAACGCCTAATCTAATTACAGCATGAAGCCGACTGACTTTAGTGACCCTGTGCCTTTTCCTCTCGTGACGCCAGTTTTTAGGGACATTTCTCTACAAATATTGGATGCATTACCAAGAAATTTGGTACTGATATACATGTTCCCCAAAGGATACTTTTCATCGAGCACCACCATTATTGGTACATTTTTTTGGTGATTTTTTTGGTTTCGGAACACAAATCTTTGTGTTTAGAGCTAATTAGCAAATGTTAGCATGCTGCCACGTTAAACTGATATGGTGAACCTGGTACAAGTATTATATCTGCTTAACACCAGATTGTTAAACTTGTCATTGTGATCAGCGAGTTGTGAAAGCATGTTTACATTAGCATATAGCTTAAAGCATTGCTGTACAAAAGTAAAATCAGTTTGTTGACTTAAAGTCTTGTTTGATTTTGTCAAGTTGAGTTCAAAGTCACCAATTTTGTGAAAATTACTCACATGCGACCCATGTGACTCGAGTCCACACCTTGTTTTGTACTGTGTCGCTATTCCTTTAGCAAATCAATGACCAATAAATTAACCCACAATCAAAACGCTGCTTTATTTACTACTAATTAACTCTGCAACTGGACCTTACAAATAGATTTCATACAAAATAATGACATAGCCTTGCAAATCTTTATATACTTCTCGATGTTTTTTGCCAGTTATTTTATATTTTTACTGACCAGCTGTGGATTTCTCCTTTTTTCAGCACCACAGCCCAACTCCCTCCAAACTCCTCATGGACGGGATCATAAATAATCTGGGTGGCCTGTTTAAACCCAAATGTGAGGTAGGTGAAACACTGAATTACAATCAATTACCAATAATTACAAAGATCAATGAAAGAAAGAGTACAAGTGCATTGTTTGGCATTGCATTGTACACAATGAACAATATCTGTTCCTCAGTATGTTGTTGAAGGACATTTTAAAAGGAAGGACACTTGATCCAGTTGAAAGACACTCTGCCTTCTCACTCTTCCACCTGCCTGCTCTTAACTTTAACTGCAGTGTGTTTTTGTACACTCAAACCCTCTTACCACACAACAATCAATTCATCATGTTTTGGAGAAAGTGTATCCACCGCTGCAATTCACTCAGGCACATGATCTTTCTTTGGAGTTTGGTGCTCCTGAAAGCACTGTTGGACAAGGTCAGCTTTGACGGTCAAGTCGCTACTTTGGAAACGCTGCCTGACCTAAAAGCCATTTTACATTACAATGTGTTATCATCGCTCACAGACGGAGCCATGACCCAGTTGAGCTGCACACAAACCCTCTATAGTAAAAGGCCTTGTGCAATAAGTTTAGTGTCTGTAATGCACTGGACTTAAGGCCTAAATTATTTGCTGTTTTTCTTTAACTGTGAACTACTTCTTGTTCTCCAACTCCCAACCCTGTGGTTCCCCGGAGGCATGGAAGGTGGTGCAGTTAGATTAAAGTAGTACAGACTCTTCTTTGAAGTATCTCCATATATTCTCTGCAGAGTCACCCTAAAATCCATCCTCCATCACTTCGTATTGTTTCATTATTCATGTCAGCTTTAAGAGATTCTGCTATTCTCTCTTCCTACCTCCAGATGCTGCCGGCCCTCAGCCTGGTGCAGGAGGTGGATCGTCCTCTGGGGCAGCAGGAGTGGTACCACGGAGCCATTCCCAGACTGGAGGTCCAGCAGCTGCTGACGAATGACGGAGACTTCTTGGTGAGGAAGAGTCAAGAGAAACAGGGTTATGTGCTCTCTGTGCAGTGGGAAGGATCCTGCAAGCATTTCCTCATTCAGAACACAGATGTAAGTTAATCAATAAAGCAAAACACTTTTGCTGAGAGTTGTAGAAGGAAATCTTACATTAGACACCATGTGTTTCTGTGTGTGTTTTACATCATATCTTTTTGAATATGCATGCAAGTTTTGAAGACCATGCACTGATACTGCCAAAAATACCAAATCCAACAATTTAAAAGACTCTTTGTTGTATATGTTTTTTTCATTATGTTCTCAAGTTTTTCTACCTTCTGTATGTTTACAAATTGGATTTTCTGTCTGTAGAATCTGTATCGTTTAGATGGAGAAAGCTTCCACAGTGTCCCGCTGCTGATAAGTCATCTGCTATCCTCGCGACAACAAATCACCAAGAAGTCTGACATTATGCTGAAGAAACCTGTTCTGAAAGTACGGCTGTCACACAATTCAAACATATCAAAGTGCTTCTACAGTCGTCCCAGATAAACACACAAGCAAACATAAACCTGCTCTCTAATGATCTTTCCTTCGAATCCTTTCCCCCTTTCTGTTCTCTCCTTTCTTGCTGGTCTCACAGTTTACCACTTTATCTCTTATTGTTCATTTTTTAACCCCATTAGGACAAGTGGGTCCTGGAACATGATGATATTATCTTGGGACCCCTAATTGGACGGGTAGGTAAACTTAACATCTGTTGATAGAAATGTAGTTTTTTATTTATTACTTTTTGTTACACACATTAATAAGGTTAGCTGTGAGTCCATGTGTTTGTCTGCCTCTGAGTCATATATCTCAATAAAACAAAATCCTGTAAGTTGACATAACAAGAGGCCAGCTCTTCATAATTGGTTCGATCAACCAACATGATTGCCACTTTAAAGGATAATTTCACATTTTATCAAGCATATCTTAAATGAATACTTACATGCCCACATGGACATTGACAGAGTTTTATTGTTTGTGGTAATGGTTTCTCCTCTGGCTGCAAAGAGATGACGTCTGAAAGAGATGTCATTGTAAGTGAATGTAAAGCTGATATGAGGCTTCATCAGTGTGAATTGTGTTGCTTTCACTCTGCTGTGGCTCAGCAACACTGTCCTTGGAAATACAAGAGATTGATTTTTGTAACTGTGGACGATATCCACTTGGTCAATGTCATTCAGACTGCTGAAGTCTCATATTAGCTGCCGCTGGACTTTGGAGGTATTCTTTCCACAGAGGGAGGAGTGTAGATTTAGTACCCCATCACTCATGAAATCACTGACATCATTTAGGAAGGGGTCTGTTCATGGCTGGTATGGACGGGAGGAACAGTTACAACAATCAATAAACCTTTCTGTAACCTATCCTTCATTTGACCTGCCAAGATTTCATAGTTTGAATACTTTAAAGTGGTTAGAATTGATGAACATTTGATCTAAAATTGTCATCAAATTGTAACCTCAAACCAAAGACAGAACAATCTGAGACTGAACTTGAACTGTTAACTTTGGATTAGTTATGTCCCCTGCTGTGTTAGAAAGGAGAGTTAAAAAGACTGTAGCTAATGTTGGTGTTTATACTACACAGGGTAACTTTGGAGAAGTGTACAGTGGTCGTTTGTGCTCTGATAAGACTCCTGTAGCGGTGAAATCCTGTAAAGAGAACCTGGCCCCAGAGCACAAGAGTAAGTTCCTGATGGAAGCCAGGTTAGTACACGCACACACACACACACACACACACACACACACACACACACACACACACACACACACACACACACACACACACACACACACACACACACACACACACACACACACACACACACACACACACACACACACACACACACACAACTACACTTCCTCTTCTGTGCTGTCCAGGATCCTGAAGCAGTACGACCATCCTAACATTGTGAAGCTGATAGGAGTGTGCACTCAGAAACAGCCCATCTACATCATCATGGAGCTTGTTCAAGGTCAGTATGAGCCTGTGGGACTCTACCTTTATATCTCTCAGCATGTTTAAACCAACAGCTCTGATCTTTATTTGACCATTATTCTCTATGTGTGTGTGTGTGTGTGTGTGTGTGTGTGTGTGTGTGCGTGTGCACATTTCATAAGGTGGGGATTTTATCTCCTTCTTACGGCGTGAGGGTCACAGTCTGAAGCCTAAAATGTTGGTGAAAATGACAGAGAATATAGCGTCTGGCATGGAGTTCCTGGAGAGCAAGAAGTGCATCCACAGGTTGGTCAATCAATATTTGTACAATATTAAATGATTTTATACAATATATACAACATTTATGCAAATCCTATTCATTAAATCAGGAACAGGGCTTTGTATAATTTCTGAGACACTAAAGCAAATGATTATTTCGTCAGATTTGGCGCCTGTAGATGAAGAGAGTCAGAGCAGCAACAAGAATCCCCACCCCATTAAAAGTCATCCTTATTAGTGCTTCACGTAGTGTTCAGTTTTGGTGAATTTCACGGCGTTAATCAATAACTGCTGACCTTTAAAGAGATGCAGGAAGCTATTGCAGCTTTGTAGTTCGAGATGTTTGCTATTCACTTGTTTACAGTAATCTCCGTGGTTGGAATACTATTCCACAAAGGAGAGATGGTTTGCAGACAGTGATGACACAGGAGTCGAAGGCACAAACAAGTTTCTAAAATAAAATGTGTGAATTTTTTGTCCCGTTTACAACCGGGGCTGAGAGTTTGCTAGCTGACTTTCAGCAAGCTTGTTCGCGTGGGGAGCTTTATTTTTCCTCATAAATAACGTTTTATCTAACAAAATGATGTGCAGTGATGAACCAAACATCAGGGGAAGAAAACAAAACAGCAAGTTAAGTTGTCAGCAAGTTAACCGCTGACTCAGCAGCTCACCAACTAGCATGTTGCCAGATTGGACTGGTTGTTTCCACCCAGTTAGACTCATTTTGATTAAGTTGGGCTGGTAGATACAATTTTGGCTGCTTTTGTCAATAAATGGCGGGGTTTTGAAAATACTGTGAAAATTATATAATATAACAATTTCCTATAATATTCATTGTGTTGATTTGTATGTTAATGATGTGCTTTCCATTACGCATGTATTGGTTTTACAGTTTTACAAAGGTCTCTGACAAGGTTATGAATTAGTCGGGTTTTAAGTTGTGATTGGGCAATCTGATCTGGCAACACTGTCATCTAGCCCTGCGAGTAGTCACCATGGCATCTGCCCCAACACCTTCTTGTGGTTTGACTCCTACTTAGAGTAAGGAGTTTCTGATTGTAATGGTTGGGCTGAACACCTGGTTGAATCTGATTGGACGTTGTCAGCTGGTAGCTAAACCGCAAATGAATGAGCCACCGATGGTAAAGCATAAATGAGATAAGTAATGCTAATCAGCTTATGGAAGAGCAGCTTCACTGCTCCCCTGAACTAACAAAATGCTCCACTTTGAAAAATGTATTTTCAGATACAGATACACAACGAGGACATAACAAAGATACAAGTAACGAAACAAACATACCAACACGAAAAAGCATCCTTAGATCAGAGCACGGTTTTCTGTTTGACCTGATTTCTAAAAGCTGCGTGTTGGATCGAAGGCCACCATGAATTGAACACACAGGAAACATGAAGCACAGCAGAGCAGTGTGTTAGACAAAATGATGGTTCTGGTGAAAATACATCAGTTGCATATTAAAACATGTTCATTTTACATGAAGTATGATGTCGTTTCTACAGAAACAAATGAGGAACAAGCTGTGTGCAGATGGATTTCAAAGCCTTTACGATACATAATACAGAACTCAATCTACTTCCTTAACATAGTGCCATACAACGGTTCACCAAACTAACCTTTCCCTGCAGCACTTCCACATAATGTTTGACTATATGCAACAGTCAAACAATCATTTCAAAATGAGGGATAAGAAGTTTTCTTAAATAACTGTTGGCTGTTGTAACATTAAAGGGGAAGCTGGAAACAAGCTCTGCTGGCTGACCTACAATTTTTTTTCACTTACATTAAAAAGACAGCACAACCATTAATTCAGCAGCGCATTACATTACATTCATTTGGCAGAAACGCTTCGTATAAATCAGCTTACAATGAGTGCATTCAAACAGAAAAGAAGCAGAGCCTAATGTCCTCAAAACTGGAGTTATCCCAAATAAACCTCTAACAGTGTTCAGAGAGTTATGGTGCAGCTTTTGTTACATAAGTTAGAGCCAACGTGTGGTGGGAGATGTGTAGTGACTTCAGTTTGAGTTCAGTCCACAGGTCAAGGACAAGAAAAGGCTGCCTCTCTATACTTCTTTGTCCTGACTGTTGGTTGACAGAGAGATTCGTAATATGATTTTGAATCATCTGCAAAAGAGGCAGGGAAGAAATGGAAGGATGCTGAAATGACTGAATACTCATTATAAAGATACAAAAAAATGGGATTTTGTACGTAATCTAAGAACACACACAAAAAAAAGTGTGCTTTCAAAGCATTAAAAGAAAAATGAGAGAAAGCTGAGATCAAGATTATGTTGTGAAAACATTCATAATGATGCAACCTGAAAGGGAACTGTGACATTATAGGGGCTCAATAGCTGAGTGGGAGCGATTGTGGTGCTTTGAGTGAGGCATCAGCGGAGGTTATCAGTGCTCCGGAGAAGACGTGAGGTTGTGACACCTGGCTCATTACAGGAGCACTGTGCAGTTTGCCCAGCGGGGACAGATCAGAGCAGGCGGCTGCTAGCTGCTCAGCCTGTAACGCTGCATGTCAAACTGCCTCACGTGCAACACTCGAGACATGACAGGAACGCCTGTTCTCTCGCTCCTTTTAGTCCCCTTTTTTCTTTCGCTGTTTCTCATTTTTTCATACAGATCATGATGCTGTTGTGTCTCCTTTGTATCTTTTTGTATCAGCCCCTGCATTCATCCCTCTTACTATGCATCTTCCTCCCCTGTCTCGTTGTCTTTTCAAAAGGGACCTGGCAGCAAGAAACTGTCTGGTTGCACAGCACAACGTGGTGAAAATCAGCGACTTTGGGATGTCCCGTCAGCAAGATGATGGCGTCTACTCTGCAGGGGGCGGCCTTAGACAGATCCCTGTCAAATGGACGTCTCCTGAGGCCCTGAACTATGGTAGGCTATAGCTGTTCCTACAGCTGTCTGACCTGCAGTCATAACCAGCAACACTTCTGTTTCTCTCTGCCAGTAGTCAATTGGAAAAATGCCTGTGCCTTTGCCAATGCTGCCTCCTGCTGGTGTTTTAGGTCGTTTTACCACAGAGAGTGATGTCTGGAGCTTTGGAGTTTTGCTGTGGGAGACCTTCTCCATGGGAATGACGCCCTACACGAGCATGACCAACCAACAGACACGAGACGAGGTGGAGAAAGGTAAAGACTCTTCAGGCAAAATAAGCCAAATGTCGATGTGTTTTTATCTAGGAAAATTCCTTCTCCTCCTTTGTGCCTGTTTCTGAGACTGATGTCTTTTTTTTAGATTCCACATGTTTTATAAAATGTGTACAGTGGGTTAAGATGTCTCGATGTCTGTTTTGACTGTCTGTGATGTGTGTCAGGATACCGTATGCCCGCTCCGCACGGCTGCCCCGTGGAAATCTCCAGGATTATGAGCAGCTGCTGGCAGTACGACCCCAAAAATAGACCGTCTTTCAAGAAACTTCGGGCTGAGCTCAGTACCATATATAGCAAAATTACGTAAGACAAGCCTGCTGGTTGGACATGTACTGTAGACTAAGTTCATTTTCTTCTGTCAGTTTGATTTGGTTTGTAATGTTGCATCTTCTTTTCCTTCGTAAAATATGTTAAAGTCCAGTCTGAACACTGAAACAGATCTCTTAAAGACATGCAATTTGAAACAAAGTGTTAAAAAAAAAACTGTACTAAACTTGTGGAAATAAACATGCAAATGGAGATTTAAGGACTTGTAAAGTATCAGTGAACCAGTTGATTGCAGCAATCTTGTTTTTTCCCTTCTTGTGATGTGTATCTGTTCTTTGTTTCCTCCTCATTCTAAAAACGGACTTGTCAAAACACAATATACTGTGTTGTGTAATATTACCATATCTGTTGAAACCTGTGTGGTCCGTCTCAAAGAAACCACAGAGGTGTGTTATTCTGACACATCCTCCTAAAATGCTGCCAACACAGACATTGGGACGATAAGGTTTCAATTAGCACAGCCTTGGGGGCTGTGTGTTGCTTGTTGGGTTTTTAGGATCAAACTGCAGACATCCCTCGGGGGGGTGGATTTTAGTTCTGTTAGAAAATAGGAAGCATGTTGGTGTAACATGACTGCTTGTGAATACACAAAACTATCTAAAATAAAAGGACAGGCCTATTTGAGCTGTATTTTAACTTAAAGCTACTATAATCAATAATTTTACCTAACAACAACAAATATGAACCAGAGGCCATCTTGCGATAGGTTCACATCCCCCTTCCTCACTTCCCACCTCCCTACTTGCGGCCCCTTCGCTCAGACCTCAATCATTTCTCCTCTTGACCTTCATTTCTGTAAAGGTTTGTGATGCCAGATTTGGTGAAACAAAATCAGGCAGAAAGATAAACACCTGGCAAAGTATTTAAAACTGTGTCTGTGATACTAAAGTAGGTGTCTCCAGGAAAATATTTTGCCATGATGGCTCACACACAGACTCACCAAGTGAAAACAATTCGTCGCTGTCACAACTGGTAGTGGAAGGACAGGCCTAATTGAGCTTTCTTTGTTCTTAGGGCTTCTACAGTCAATATGTTTTACCCAAACAACAAATGTCATGTGTAATGTGAAAGGGGTCCATCGTAGTGACAAACTCACAAAAAATCATCTCCAACATCTACAGTTCCCCTCATCTCTTAGCAGAATGGACCAAACATTAGTGTCACAGCATCTTTTTGCTCTTTGTTTTGGTTTTATGACCCTTAACCTCACTGCTTTGGCCCACTGCTCTTATCACTTCCAGATGCAGCAGGCAACTGTTTTCATCTGAAAGAAACTGTACGTGTGTGGGTTAAAATCATTCATTTTCTAAATTTTGACTTATGGCCGAGTCTGTTTAACCAGGAAGACTTCGTAAAAGTTGGCAAGTAGCGACTGTAGCAAGCACTGTTACCGTGGATACATGCTATTTAATATTCGGCACTAATTTATGCGGTTTAATTGTTGACTGGTCAGCCCCGTTAAACCAGGTCTACCTCCCAACTCGTAAGATACAGATTGTTGGTCAGTACCCCCCCGATTTCTTGCACAGTCGACTAATAACATTGTGGCTCAGTTTGGGATGTCTCAACAGCTATTGACTTTTTTCCCGACAGACATTTTGACATAGTAGAAAAGGCACAGGTGTATTTAATAATAATAATGATAGCTGAGTTCGACTAAGTCCTGGAATTGCACATGCTGAGCCATTGTTAATCTTATTCATTTCCCCTGTACTTTTACTGGTTATTACATAATGCACAAAACTGTAATTACACTATGTATTCATTGTTTTCTTGCATTATGTGCTGATTGTTGTGTTATGAACTTTTATTACATTAAAATGTTAAATTATGAGCTTTTATTACATTCAAATATTACGTTATGCACAGTTATTATGAGTTGCTACACACGGTTAGCATGTTGACGCTAAATAGTCATGCCTTTCGTTGTGCAACCCTGTGGTGTAGAATGACAGTTATGTAGATGAACCTTGAACTGTCTGCATGTTGACATTCAGTTCAAAGCACAGGTGGGTTAGAAACACAGTCGTGCATGACAAGTTAATCCACTAAGCTTTCTCCATTTTGGCCCTTCGTCCACAAAAACCTTTTTGAAAATGGCCTCTCGAGTAGATCAATTATCAAATGCCTGCAACACGCTGTAGTGGACAAAGAAAACAATTATGCAAGCCGGCCGGGGGATGTGTGGCAGTAAATTTAAGAAGCTTTCACATACAGCCTTCTCTGTGATAATTTTACAGGAATGGTTCATTTTGGAAAATATGCTTTTTTCGCTTCCTCTTGTCTTAGTTTTTGTCAGTACATGTGCTGCAGCATTCTGGATCAACTGGAGAGTCTTAAGAGATTATTAGAGCAGCCTGATAATGAAAACATATCCTGAGTCTTTTCTTTTCATGCCACTTCCTGCTTCTACCCCATTTCAGAGGAAAATATTTGCACAGAAGACATATCAAGAGTTTGCCTTTTTTTGTATGTACTTTTACTTTTAAATCTTGAAAATATTTCTAAAACGTTTCCTGATTATACTTTTTACATAAGTAACATATCCAATGCAGGACTTTTACTTATAACAGAGTTTTACCTACCCTGTAACCTTAACAGTGTGGTATTGGTACTTTTATTGTAAAGGATCTGAATACTTCCTCCACCACAGGTTCATAATATGAAAAGGCGAGTTTGTTCAGGAGCAATTTATTGACTCATTAAAATATAAAACTGGAGTTGGACCGTGGCTGGACTAGAAATAGTAATTAAAATGAGGCAAACAAGTTTTGTTTGGTCATTCAATTAAAATATAGTTCTCTGTTATTTTTCTGGACATTGTCAAGGGAACATAAAAACATATAAACCTCACCCTAACCTGGAGTCTCGGGCGTTTTTTGAAACAAGGCAAGTGACATTGTTGAGTGACACTGACATGTCTCACCACGATGGCTGCGTGGGTGTGTCATGTCATGGAGAGGTTACATTGAATTGATACCCATTTCTTTGCAAACTGATGCTTGCACAACTGTATCCTCTTAAATATATATACAATACGTGCTGGGCGATGATCGAAATTGGTCTTGTGAAATGGATTAGTATCATGAGCACGGATAATCCTTCTCATATTCCACCGATAAGACATTTCATACCTACATCAATTTGAGATTAATCCTACAGAGAATGAAAACATGAAATTGTCATTGTAGAGGTGCTGAACTTTGAAACAAAATGACTTAATCTCTTTTTTTAAGTTAACAAAATTAAAGTTTTTGCAGAACTATAAACAGAAAATGAAGTGTATCACATTAACAACTCCTAAATGTACAGAACAAATAGAAATCTAGACTCAACAATGTCCTAAGTGAGTTCTAATTATGTGAAATTGATGTCATGCACACCCAGTAATGCCTTAATGTTGACTCAGATGAAACAGCCACAGTGAGGAAGGTGTGGCTATTGTCACTCATCACCCATCTCACCGAAGCAAGTTGAGTGCTCAACATGGTTTGTAATTTTAGCCACCTCACCGGTCTAGCATGTTCTGTAGCTCTTAGTTGTCACATGATTTTGAGGCTTGCGTTTGTTTTTATTTGGCCCCAAGGTAACAAAACATTAATTTAAACAATAGATCTATATAAAACCAAAAAAAACTCCTTGAATTTAGCTGCTCTAGTCTGGCATTGATCGATTAATGAGTTGACTTTGGAAATTAATTCAACTCAATTAATACTTAATTGTACCTACATATGCATTGTCTTTTAAATCACAGATGCTGTTGCGTGTCTGTTGATGAGTTACTTTGCACATGTAATTTATTCCATGGTGTTAGTAAGTGCTTTAAAATGGAAAAAAAACAGAGGAAAGCTAAAACAATAAATACAACCATAAAACAAAGTGTGATAAAATAATGTTAATCCACAGACCTGGTAAAGATCATATGGTTTCAGTGAGGTGCTGATACAAGATAAGACGGTGTGGAATAAAACCTAAGAGAATTAAAGAAAACCTAGATTAAAAGATCTTTGATGTCACTTGTCACAATTGCCACATTTAGATTAAATCATGATCTTATATGAGTGTATAGTTGCTACACCAGAAATGTAGTCACATGGGTCCATTGTTGCTCAGAGTCACCTGTGAGGCTGAGTGAGCCACACAAAGCAGTTTGCGCGTGTGTGAACTTGAAGTCTCATGATGGACCATGTAAGAGACAAACAAGTATGACAAAGATAACATGTGTCTCATCCGCAGATCGTAACTCAGTGGTTGGGGGTTATCTGGGTGTCAGATCGTCTTTAGAGTGTATCGCAGATTTCTGTCACCAAGAAACAGCCGACTGCCTGACGCTCACGTATCAGTTCGGCATCTGGTTGCATGTCCTGATATGTTCTAGGAAATCCTTTCTGGTTAGTCGCACTCCTCTGGCTGCTCCAGCTGGATTTCATCAAAGTACAAAACACTCATTGAATAATTATTTCACAAGCTGTGTTGTAGAGATCAATTTCAAATGATTGACTCACCTTTTATATATCTGTCATAGGTGCACCATAAATAATTGTGATGTAACAAGATGATTTATGTGATGCATAATCACTAAAAAAAATATTGCTTTCATTGATGTGGGAGGGAACAAATCATTAGATGCCTTTTCCGTGCATTTAAAGTTGTTGATGTCAAATTATTTCTCAAACCCACGCTGATAGAGAAATATGCACATTGAATTTTCACATTTAAATTAAATGATGTATTTGAAGAGCTTAATCCTTCCTGTGGTTTTCTTTTAAGTGATGCCAAATGAGCAGGCTTAATGGGATAAGCTAGTATTTGCTTTGTAGGCTGAGGCAAAGACAAATAAGGAAACGCTTTGTTGTTTGAATAGCTTCAGTGCTCTGATCTGTGTCTCACTAACCTGTTGAATGACAGGTGCGCATAATCTTTCCTGTGGCATCATTCCAGGTCTCTGTCCGGCTAAAGCAGAGCATGCCACACCATGTGACACCATGTGACAGGAAACATTGCTGAAATACCTCCATCAGATAAGATCTGAAGACTCCACAGTCCATCCGTCACATGTTTAACCACTCCAGGACTGAAATGAAACAATTCAACCGCCTCAACTCTTTTATAAAAAATATTTTTTATGTAGACATATTTATCCTGAAAAGACAAAACAGCATGATCACTCACCTGCTGTTCCCTCTGCAGCAGTGGTCCATGCTCAGTGTGGACGCTTTCTGTGACAGTGCTGTTAACATCATCTTGTGATTGAACAACACTCTCCATAAAGATGTAAACTTTAATTCACACAATAAAATGCACCCACCCAGTACAGGACTCAGCACTCAGTCTTGTATGACCAGTGGTTTATGGTGGGTAATGTTAGCGAAGTTTGAAATCAGCCAACTTAGAAGTCAGGACCCACGTAAGGGTCACAAGGTAAATCTGAAGCGCTGCAATTTTTTTAGCAGAAGAGGATATGATAAAAAAAAAACAACAACATATAATTCTGCTACACAATGTTTTGCCTATATTTTTGTCTTTTTCTTCTTCTCTAAAATGATTCAAATAAAATAGGAAAAATATCACTTTTTGGTCAAACTGGTGACATCAGGTGGCCATATGTGACTGGTGATGAGGAGTCGCAAGCAAAAAGGTTTCCCAACCTTTTTTGTTTTACATATTGTGTCTTGTATCTGTTACACTACATTTTAGCATTCAACAAAAGTTACAAGAATCACTTTATATTAAATTACATCTTGTTTTATTCAGCACAGTAGATATTTATAGACTACTGGTTTTCTTTGCCCATCATTGGTGTACTGGACTCTTACCAGTTCAATGTAATACTAGTGAATCTGCAATTAAACACAAGACAATGCAGTACAACAAATACAGTGCAAACCTACTGAAAACACAAGACCATAATATGGTGGTACTGATTCCCCAGATTTTAGCTGATCGAGAAGACAAACCAGTTCACAACCACATAATATTAAGAAACAAATATGTTTTGTTGAGAAGCAAATCTCACAAGTTCCGTCACAATGAAAAAATGCCTCTTCAAAAATGAACAATGTGTATCAAGAGGGTTTCAGTGAAAATACATCAATAAGCAAAATAAAGCCTGCATGCGCTGGGTAATCACTTGGCAAGCATAAACTCTTGCATGAATAGCGTTAAGATCTGCCTTGATGCAGGTACAGTGGAAAGGTGTTCTATAATACAAGTTAAAACATCTCAACAGGACCACAGCTTCTGGCTGAATCTGCTCGCATTACATCGAGGAAGGATCAGAATATCCTGGGTGTGCAATTCCCCATCTTTCTCACGCCTTAAAGAAAGTGCACGGCGTTGTTACACCATGATCGTCAGAGAGGGCAAGTAATTATAAACTAAGAGCCGGTCCCACATGACCTGAATAACCCTGCATTCACCTCAGGGGAATTCTATCATTCAGCTGAAATTAAACGGGAAAAGTGAAATGACAGCAAGTACCAAAGAATGACAGACTGACACAATAAGTCAGTCTGTCATGAAAACACAACTCAACCTGTTGACAAAATTAAGGACTAATAAACCTAGTGTAATACTGGGGAAATGAATGACTAAAACAATCTAATACCTGTTTTGTGTTTTTCTTTGCAGACCTGCTCTTGTCTACTTAAAAACCTACTAAACGTAGTGATTCATTGCATGTGATATTTGGTAGGTTTAGGGTTATTAAAGTAGATAGTGTAAATCAACGTTTGATTCTTGAGCACATGCTATAATGTTATCAATGAGGACAATCTCGTCAGTGATACATAACCTGTTGTGTTACATAATGAGTTGAGATAGAAAGCAGTGATCTGGAATGTTCTTAGTGTCACAAAGATTTAAATGATGGCTCTTTACACTGGAATCTCTTCTGTTAGATAGTCATCACGTTTGGAAAAAAACTAACAGAACACAAAGTACAGAATTGTAGGAAGAGAACACAAACGGTCACATGATGCGGACAACCGTGTCTCTGCTCATCGTACACTATAGTGACTGAGCACGGTGTGACAAAATAATAAATACAGATTTGTTCTTATTGAGCCATCACTCATTTGGGGGGGTCATACTATGTAGGAGCCATTAGTTAGGTCTGGGTATTATAGCAGTTTATATTGGGAGCCTATCTCAGGTTGACCACGGGTGGCAGTGTGTATTAGTTTGGCATGTAATTGATATATGGGGCACAGGTGCAACTGACAAGTAATGAGGCATGGGTGACGGGGAGATCGTACGGTTTTTACTGCAAGCCAGAGAAGTCAGAGTGAACTCTATTAAACGGGAACCTCGCCCAAAAGTGTGAAAAGCCTAGAATCTCATTATTCAAGCGAGTTAGGAACAGGATCTTCTCCAGCATCCAGCCAAGTAGCTAATTACTGGAATCAGTCACTTCCTCTTGTCTTTCTTGTCTGACAGTACAGTATGTATGCATTTTAACCACTCATCCAACAAGGCACTTCACCCTCAGCTTCTCCAGTGGAGAGAGAGTGGTTCGCAGCAGTACAAAACAGGCTCAGTAAACAATCAGCTAAAGGTTGTAACGAAGTGTAAGAGATATGTTGACAGAAAGACTCAATTCACAGTTTTACGATTCCTGTAATAACACGGCCGTGTCATCTGGTCGGAGTAATACACGTCTCCATTCAAATCACAACTCTGGTGATGATGTTTAGCCTGATAGACTGGTGTGTTCACCAATTAGTTTAATGTTCTCACTGAAACTCATTCAAATCATTTCTAATACAGGAGAGTTAACAATTCTAGCAAGTCATTATGTCAACTGCAGTTGCAGGTGTTGGATTTTGTGGCTGAAAATCTTTACTGTTACACCAAGACCTGATATTTACCACGTTTCTGACTGTGTCCATTGTCAAGCAAATGCAAACATGTTTCACTAATGGCTAGAAGTGGCCACATCACACAATGATGCCATATTAAGTTAGTCTGTACAGCAACATTTTTATCAAGCATTAATGATTACTTTATTTCCTGCTGGTAATGAGTGTTGACCAGCTTGGCCTGACTGTGGAAAGACAAGTAGGCAGGTACAGTAGGGAGTGGTTTACCTGCTAAGGTGTATCCACCCCCTGTGAACAAATGCAGCACACCCCCACCAAAGGACCATATGCATGAATACATATATACCTGCTGAGAAGCTGCTGGAAGTCACATCCGAGCAGTGGCCCTGGCTGAGAGGTGATCAGAGCATCATTAGAAGAGAGTTATCATCATGGGGAACTTTCTAGAATGCATGGGAAGTTTTTTCTGCCGGCAAAAGAATACCAATGTTCGTATTACTCTGCCGGCTGTCTGCTTCATCTGGCAGATTGCTATGGTTGTACTGTTTGGGATTTTCATCCGCTATGATGAGGAATCAGACGTACGAAAATGGCTAGAGCTCAAAGAAAGAAACAACATCACCAGCGATATCGAAAATGACTTCTACTTCAGATATCCCAGTAAGTACAACAATCGACAGTGTGTGAGGAAATGTATCTTGCAACAAAGAGTTGCATATCTAAATGCAGGTTTTGCTTTGCTGACCCTGTGTCAGTGATGTTGGCCATACACCAACATTTTTTTTATTTGTTGATCGACAAAATTAAACATTTGTCTTACAGCTGCAACAGTTTAACACCAAATTGTAGCAATTTTACTCCAACTTCACTCTTCTCAATTATGTCTTTGGTTTGCGTACACGGCTGCATTGGAATGTTAGAGCTTATCAAAACATTATGAATTATTATATAAGGAGGCTGTTTTTTACGACTACAATTAGATTGGGATTGTTAAAAAGGCAAACTTGTGATACTTAGTTTCAAAAGGTACTTGGTTGCATTCTTCTGGGCTTACTTTTGACCCTCTGGCAACCTAGCACCCGTATTTCCAGTTTGATGTAATCTCGAAGTTCTCCATCTGCAAAACTGATAAAATCTCAACATGCAATGATAAATTACAAATCCAAAATTAAAGAAGCTGTATTTAAACATTCAGAGCATTAATAAAGCAGCAAACAACTCTATGCTTTGTAAAGATGTAATGGTGGAGGAACGTTTACCTGAGCAGAGAATGAAGTCAGTCTCTCTGACAACCAGTGTGTGGTTGTCAGAGCTTCTCCTTGCTTTGTTAGCCGGGCTACATGCTTTTCGTGCATATTTATGCATCTGAGTGCGCCCCACCGGCTAGCTCATGTCTGCTGCTCTGCACTACACTCATTATGTAACAGTTGACAGAGCCGTCTAGACTGACAGCATTGTTGTGGAAGCGTAGCACCTCCCATGCTTTACCCTTTATGTTGTCACTGTTAGCTCTGTCAGCACTTTTTGCCATAGTTGCACTGTTAGCGCTGTTAGCACATTTACCTATACCCCGGACATGTTGAGAACCGTTGAGAGGCAATCTTGTATTTTGCAGATACAAGAAACTTCGATTACATAACTTTATTTTATTATTTCATTGAAATGACCCTAAGTTAATTCAAAGTAGAAAATTAATGTGCTAATTTCATGCCATTACACAAATGTGTTTATTTCCCTCTCTCCAGGCTTCCAGGACGTCCATGTCATGATCTTTGTTGGATTTGGTTTCCTCATGACCTTCCTGAAACGCTACAGCTTTGGTGGTGTGGGCTTCAACTTCATGATTGCTGCCTTTGGTGTGCAGTGGGCTCTTCTCATGCAAGGCTGGTTCCACGCGCTCGACCCCGTCACCGCAACGATCTCTATTGGAGTAGAGAGGTAAGGCATGCGAAAGGAACAGCATTTTATGCATCGTCAATCATTTAAACTGGACAGATGCAGATATGTGCAGGTTATGTCACTCAGAAATGAAAACAAAACATAAAGATAAAGATATACAGAAATGTTTCACCATGTTTTCATGTTCTTTTGTCTCAGTTGTCACCATGTCAAAACTTATTTTGTCTTGTGGCATCCCTGAGACAATAGCATTATTGTCATGGCAAAGCCCTGTACAATCTGTTAAATGCAGATTTGATTGTTTGATTGTTAAAGTTTCCACTTACTCAATTTTTTTCTTGTTATTTTCCTTTTTTCCTCACAGTTTGATCAACGCTGACTTCTGCGTTGCTAGTTCTCTGATTGCCTATGGTGCCCTCCTGGGAAAAGTAAGCCCTGTCCAGCTGATGATTGTCACCTTGTTTGGCGTCACACTGTTTGCTGTGGAGGAATACATCATCCTCGACCTCCTTCATGTGAGTCTTACAAACACAATCATCCCGCTGGAAGCTTTATTATTGTCCAAGGAGTGAGAATATTCCCTCAAACATTGCAATTTCTTATTTTTACTGCTTATTCACACAGTGCAGAGATGCTGGTGGCTCAATGGTCATTCACGCCTTTGGAGGGTACTATGGTTTGGCCATCTCCTGGGTTCTCTATCGACCAAACCTACACCAAAGCAAACGCCTCAACGGATCTACCTACCACTCTGATGTGTTTGCTATGATTGGTGAGGGATTTATTTTTGACAGTTCAACACTTTTAGTGTTTTCTTTAGGACATAGTTTATTCAGAATATCTATGATATTTTACATTCATCATTGTCAAAACATGCTTACTTGATTGTAAATGTGTTAATCTAACTCTGGTTTCGTTGACTTTATCTTACCTCACAGGTACACTGTTCCTGTGGATGTATTGGCCCAGTTTCAACTCGGCAATCACAGACCACGGCTCCGGACAGCACAGAACAGCCATCAACACTTACATCGCCCTCGCCTCCTCTGTGCTCACCACCGTGGCCATCTCCAGCATGTCTGACAAAAGAGGAAAACTGGACATGGTAATGCCATGTCACTGAAAAACAACAAATCTGCAACCTGTCATTTATATATTTCTCATAACTAACATGCTGTTTTACCTGACAGGTGCACATCCAGAATGCCACTCTGGCAGGTGGTGTTGCAATGGGAACGGCAGCAGAGTTCATGATCACTCCTTATGGTTCTCTAATCGTGGGCTTCTGCTGTGGCATCATCTCCACCTTTGGCTACCTGTTTGTCACGGTAAGCCTGCAGTCTTTCACCTCCTAACTTTTATTCTGACAGAAATCTTGAATTCTGTCTTGTGGCTCAGATGGAAAATGAGAAGTAAAACTAGAAAATACATTTCCTGCTGAAAATGCGTTGGAATGCTGAAAGCTGAAATTAATTGTAAAAGAATTGCTGAAAATTAAGAAATGGGAGACTACCTGTCTGAAAAATGTTGAAGCCCGAAAGCATTTAAACTGCACTGCTGAAAACCCTTCTACTTGAAATGTCTAACTATGGTGTCTGTAGCTGAAAGTATGAGAAGAAGAAGGCTTTGAAAGTTGAAGAAGTTTAACAGGATTTGAAGATTTTCTCCATAGAGATCCCATTCAAAAAAAATTGCAAATAGCTTAATATTTCAAAAAGTTAAAAGATTACAAATATGAAAAGTCAAAGCACCCCTCTCCTGAAAGAGCTGAACATTTTGAAAGGGAAAAGTCTTTAACATGGTTAACAAGATTTAACATGGAGTCTAATGGAGCAGTTTGTTGGAGTTCATGTCGCTCTGCGGCTCCTTGAGCCAAATGTGTAAATCTGTGGGATTCCACAGACATCTGTCTACGACAAGGACAAGATTAGCTACTTCTCCATCAAAAATGATGCATGAAGAGTGAAGATTGTGGACACAGTGGCAAAAGACAAATGTTTTTTTCATTAATTTCATTTATTAAATAATTACATAGAAATGACACGTAATGAATTTTTAAAAGCGGATTCTGTGGCATTTCAGAGAATTTTGAAAAAGCATTTAGTCCATGGTGTGGGGAGGTACAGTTTACACATCAGTAATTAATGTATGATCGTTTTTCTCATTCTCAGCCCTTCTTGGAGAAATACCTAAAGCTCCAGGATACATGTGGTGTCCACAATCTGCACGCTGTGCCAGGGATGCTCGGCGGCTTTATAGGCGCCATTGTTGCTGCATTCGCCTCTGAAGAGGTCTATAGCAGGCAGGGGTGAGTGAATGGCACACACACACACACACACACACACACACACACACACACACACACAC